AACATATTACTCACACCAAAACAATTCAATACAAGCAAAATTACCTCAGTACAAAGTTGCTTAGGCTAGACGGCTCTGAAGTTAAAATAATTCTCAAATGGTTCCTGCTTCTTTACTCTGAAACGGCTCATGACATTTTACTTGAATTCGTCATGTTGGCATAGCTTTCTTGGGCAATAAATCATGATTATGATGAATATCATTATATGGGCGTAGAACTTGATTTTTTCAGTAAATGAACATCTAAAACTTCTACCCCAATGGAAAGGCGGGGATTTGAATATGAAATTTCGATTGTGTAACTTGTTTACTACAAGAAAGGCACTCTTGATTGCATTTGATTTCTCTCATGATTTTGACAAAATTCGAATTTTAGCAATTTTAAGCATCAGCCAACACAACGATTAACAGATATTTCATAAAAATGTATTGAAATGTTGGTCATTTTTAATAGTTTATTACATAATATGTGTTGTAAGAAGCATATTACGCACGAATGGAAAAGTTACGCACGCAGCCGCGGAGCGGCGAGTGCGTAATTCCATGAGTGCGTAATTGCTTCACAACACGCATTACATACTATACTTTACCTACTGCCATATAATACGTCATAATACATTGGACAAACAGTCTGAATTATAATTCTTGACAGTTATGTCATCCGCTGTTGACGGCGATTACGCGATTATGACTGGTGGAATAAACGAAAACTGTCCGATGTGTGTTATAATTCTTAACAGTTATGTCATTGGCTGTTGACGGCGATACGCGATCATTACTGGCGGAATAAACGAAAACTGTGCGATGTGCTTACTGTGCGTAAAGAACTAATTACTGAGACTGTATCTCGTGTGTTCTTGCCTACTTTCTATAGTGGCCGTAGGTAAAATAGAATAATAAATTGAATTATGAGAAGGATAAATTGATAAAACTTTTTTTCAATTTTCAACATTTACATTTTGCTCCTACTTTTCTACGCACCCTGTAAATTATTGAGTAGTTGTGACTATGGTGACTGATAACTAAAAAAGACGTACGTTCGATAGGCCGCATTTGTCAATTTATCTAGGAAAACTCAAAAACAATTCATTTTTAGTATAGGGTATTATACATGAATTTGAATCAGAATCATAAGGATAATTCAAAATTGTTATGAAATACATGGTGTTCAATTGAAAATAACGAAGATGACGTCACTTCCGGAAAAATCGGAAGCTTCAGAATAACGAACATTTTTGAGTTGGATTCTACATATTACCTTCACCGTCCATGCGAATTTTTTGAATCGTGCTACTTTCAGTTCTCCATATATAGATCGCGTTAACTCATGGGGATATACCCTGTGTAATCGAGAAAAAATAACCCGAATATGTGGTAAGATCAAGAAAAAATCAAATGTTGAATTCAGTGCAAAACTTAACAATTGTATTCGTATTGTATAAGTATTTTCTTCCTTGTCCATTTTCAATAGACATCTAAAAAATGACAATCCTCCACTCAGTCTACTTCTGCAGTCTTCAACAACCTAATACGTTGTAGACATATTATCTAATTCACTATTATTTAGGACACCCGCTATAGCAAATTTCCTACGCTTATTCGATCCATTTACATTTTGCTCCTACTTTCCTACGCACCCTGTAAATTATTCAGTAGTTGTGTTGATTCATTTTTGATATCTCCAACTGATTGTGGAATGAAATACAGAGTGTGCCATTTTAAAAAATCAACTAGTACTTTGTAGATCGTTTGTTCCGAGCACCCTGTATTTTCTGATGTAGCGGAAAAAAAATTATGAAAAATCATTCCAAATGAAAGTCTAGTCATGAGCAGATTATAGTCAATTCCTAGTCTTATAAAATATGGCCAAAGAGACATAGTTTTTCTCCTTCGTCCTTATTTATGAATCCCAAGAAACATTGTAGTTTATACAGGGATATGATATAACATAAAATCAAATATTTAACATGGTAGGTATATAATAAGATAGATAGATATAATATGATATATGATATGTATTTGTGTTATTATGAATATAAATTCTGAAATAATATTGATGATAACAAAACAATAGCATTAAAAATATGCATAATAATCATGGACGTATAAACAATATACGTCCATGATAATAATCATCTCACATTTACAAAAAATGGAGTTTTAGTCGTCTTTTGAAATTGTATATATTATTCAACTTTTTGACCGAATCAGGAAGAGAATTATATACAGGGGTGTTTACAAATAAGTGTCACAAAGGAAAACTGTAGATTCCTGATAATAAAAGAAACATTTCTTTCCTCTTGAAATTTTTTCTCCGGGCTTTCGTTTTCAAGATACAGGGCGTCAAAAAATCAAAAATGTTCAGTTTAATTGAACACACTTTACAACACTTAATAAACTTAACAATTTGAAAACCAGCATCGAGACCAGCATACTCAAGAACCTGACATTTGATTGAACATATTCTTAGACAGCTCTGAGGTGTTTATTTCCAGTGGATTTTTAGACGATTTTTGGAGATACCATCAGGATTTTGTATGTTCTTATTCATAAAGAGCCATTTTTTGCAGAAACTATTCACTTTAGAGCATTGAGACAAGAGGACGTTTTTTGTGTGAAAGATATTGGCGCTTCAGAATCTACTTTGAAAATTACAATTTCTCCAGTGGCATAAATGTTTGGGGAGTTGAACCCTTACGAGGCGTTGAATTCTCCTCCACTGACATGTCCAAGGAAATTGATCAAGAGCCCTAAAAGTAGTCATTATTGATGATAAAGTGTGTACGAAGGCTTAACTCCGTAGCTCAGAGGGTTCCTGAGATAGCAGCAAAAAACAGATTTTTTTGTATTTTTCTGACGCCCTCTATCTTGATAACGGAAGCCCGGAGAAAAATTTCAAAAGGGGAAAAAATGTTTCTTTTTTCATGAGCAATCTACAGTTTTTCGTTGTGACAATTATTTGTTAACACCCTGTATATTCATTAGATACTTCCTAGGAATATGATTCCGAATTCTATATGATATTCCAATGATTGGACTTATTTTATTACGTAATTTCTCAACACGTTTGTACCATGAAACTGTTTTATCAATGAACAATCCTAAAACTTTCGCAAATTCTGTATAATTGATTTCATTAACGCCAACTTTTACTGGATCAATTTGTTCCGCAGGTTTCTTCCTTTTCGTTATATACATAAATGAAGATTTTTTGTAATTTAATGATAATTTATGTGCTAGTAGCCACTGGCCTATTATCTTCAAATCATGTTCCATATCACTGTGAATTTGTTTAGTGTTTGAAACAGAATAAAATATGTATTGTTGTATCATCAGCAAATAATTTGATCGAACCCTTCACGTCTTTAAATTCACTCATTGTATTGATAAATACAAAGAATAACATTGGTCCTAAAATCGATCCCTGCGGAACACCACAAATTGATATTTTTAGTCAAACTTATAATATCAATAATGACAACAAATTGTTCACGGCCTTCAAGATAGTTTTTGAACCAAGAATATGTGTTACCTCTGATTCCCAAATTAGACAACTTATTCAATAAAATATTGCGGTTCACTGTATCAAATGCTTTGCATAAATCCAATGATAATATTGTCTTTTGGCGGTTCAAGATTAATAATTCTGTTATAAAATAAATCTGTTCCAATTAAATGTCAACATGAAAGCCGTTTAGACCGATAATGAATAGTTTCAACACAAAAAATCCTAAAGTTGAAAAATCTCTGTAATCATTTCGCTAGACCGTAAGAGTGATATTAAGATGGAATCAGCTTATCAGGGAGAATCTAAAAATGTAATAACATACAGGGTGTTCCATGATTTTTTTGAAAAAACAATGTGCGAAAAAATCGGCAATAGGCTAGGATTAGAACCTTAAATTAGCTTTAAATTATGGTCTAATTAGTTTCGTGATTGAACCTTTTTGGTTTGCTATTGGTTTGTCATGTTCATGTAGGATTTGGGGAAATTTTTGCCAAAAATAATGAACAAAAATATCGATGATAGGCTTAACAAAAAGCCTTAAAATAGCCTTAAATTATGATGTACTCAATATTCCTATATTCAGGGGGGGGGGGGGGGGTGAATAAAGAATATACCACGAAGCAGTGGACTGCTTGTTTGTGGACGCATTCTACAGTGGTTCTTATAAAACTAACATAGATTTGTTTATACAGAGTAAATAAGAAAAAGTGAAATATATAAAATATGGAATGAGTAAAATATATATAAAAAATATGTGATACACTGATATAGGGCGAAGATACAATTTTATAGAGTTTCATGTAAAGATAAAATACAATAGTTTAAAAGATTATGATTAATTAAACATGTTATACTATACTTATATACTACTTATACTTATTAATTAGGGGTCTACTTGTTCTATAAACTAAGATGTGTAAAATTTATACTGCAGAAGTTACGATTTGAAAATTTAAGTGTGGAAAGGTAAGGTAACGTGCATAGATGTAGCAATGTCTAAATATGTGAAAAGTGTATATATGCACAAAAATGAATATGTAGGTGTGTTTATTATATTCATCATATTCGTATAATATTATTATTCTTGTTATTACATATCTATAACTTCATGAATTTTTTGGCGCGGATTCCTATTTGATATTTGGTTCTGCTAGCTTAACAGTTTAAGCTAGCAATGTGCGAAAAAATCGGTAATAGGCCAGGATTAGAGCCTTAAATTTTGGTATAATAAAATTAGTTTTGTGGTTGAACTTATAATTACGAAGTGGTTCTGCTAGCTTAACGTTAAGCTAGCAGAACCCACGTTTTTTTGGATAAATCTATATGGATATTCGGCAATAGGGTGATAAATTAACCTTATAGGGTGATAAATTAACCTTGAAGAAAAAATTTAAAGATCAAAGTGGTTCTGCTAGCTTAATGGGGGTGTATTATTATTAGCAGATAGATATACTACAATTTTTGGGAATGAAACCTAATCATTTCATTCCAGAAAACGAAACAAACAGAAGAAACGGCAAAATGAAGTTGAAGAAGAAAATATCGAAAACAATACAGATATTGTACAGGCTGAAAACAATATCTCAAACTTATCAGCCCCAATTAATACAATATCCATAAAAGACCTGAAAGCTGCAATGGAAGTATTTTCATTATCACAAAAACCTGCGAAAACCTCTGAGGAAGCTTTGAAAAAATCTTATCAGTTTTGGAATACTCAGCCTGTGCCTAAATTGGGTAAGTTAGACTCAATCAGCATAAAGATGTAATTGATTGAAGTTGAATCCCACATCAATTTCTAATTCAATATCACTCCATTTGATATCCTATCAATTTCAAAAAACTGCATTTCTGTAGGCGTTAAAAAAAGTATATTCAAAGATGGGTCTATAATTTGAATTGCTTATTTTAATATGGTCATCACACATATTGAAAAAACTCATATCACCAATAACTTTTATCAACTAACAAACTAAAGTTTTTGATCATTTCCATTAAATTTCAGATGAAAAAATTACTGGCAATGAAGCTATAGAACCCAACAAAGAAGTAACAGAAATAAGAGCAGAACCTTACACTTTACCAGATGGTTTTATGTGGGATACATTAAATTTAGATGAACCCTTAGTCCTTAAAGAATTATATACACTTCTCAATGAAAATTATGTAGAAGATGATGACTGCATGTTCAGGTTTGATTATCAACCTGAATTCCTCAAATGGTAAGTTCCTTTGCATTTTTGAAATGACTAAGTGTGTCCCACTTACCATGCTCACCATGGGTATCTTTTTAACGGTGAGAGATACGAGGTCGGTTAAATGACACCAAATGTGGAGTTTGTCAAGGCCAACTATAATGTGGAAAATCCATTTGTTTTTGTTTTATACGCAAAAAAACTGATTTCGATCATTTTCATGTCTCCTCCGTAACTTCTTTATTTATGAAAATATTCAAATAGGAATTTCACATTCTCATGGCAGTTTTTCAAATTGATTTCGAAAAAAATATGAAATTTATTCCAACTCTTCTAGAATTTGAGATATCAGCACCAACTTTAGTTTTTCAAATGTAGGTCATAGGTCACTATGACTTAGTTACAAATAACTTTTTTTTCTCTTACAGATGATATGTGGCAGTAATAGTTTTGTGTTGATAACAACGGAGTTATCGTCATTTATACAAAAACAAAAAATTATTTGGAAGCCGCCATCTTGAATTGATAAATTTCAACAAAAAAATCATGATCTCCGACCTCAAAAACCCCCACTTACCAATTTTGAATGGAATCGGACCAAATCTTGTCCGCCATCTTGGAGCAGCCATTTCTTTTTATTTCAACAAAAATTCCATAACTCCGATTAACTTGAAATTTGGCAGGTGTTCATAATTTCGGTGACAATAAATTATGGAATTTTTGTTGAAATTTAAAAAAATGGCTGCTCCAAGATGGCGGACAAGATTTGGTCCGATTCCATCCAAAATTGGTAAGTGGGGGTTTTTGAGGTCGGAGATCATGATTTGTTTTGTTAAAATTTATCAATTCAAGATGGCGGCTTCCAAATAATTTTTTGTGTTTGTATAAATGACGATAACTCCGTTGTTATCAACACAAAACAATTACTGCGACACATCATCTGTAAGAGAAAAAAAAGTTATTTGTAACTAAGTCATAGTGAGCTATGACCTTCATTTGAAAAACTAAAGTTGGTGCTGATATCACAAATTCTAGAAAAGTTGGAATAAATTTCATATTTTTTTCGAAATCACTTTGAAAAACTGCCATGAGAATGTGAAATTCCTATTTGAATATTTTCATAAATGAAGAAGTTACGGAGGAGACATGAAAATGATCAAAATCTGTTTTTTGCGTATAAACAAAAACGAATAGATTTTATCAAAATATTTTTTCACATTATAGTTGGCCTTGACAAACTCCACATTTGGTGTCATTTAACCGACCTCGTATCTCTCACCGTTAAAAAGATACCCATGGTGAGCATGGTAAGTGGGACACACTGTATATTGGATGTATAAATTTATATTAATTTTGTAATCAATGGGACGTCTGTGGGATGCACAATTGGGTCGTCCTCCAGGGATATCCCATGAAAGTCTTCAAACAACCAAACCCTAAGAAAATCTATAATAAAGCACAACAAAGGACATTCAGTGTTTCCACTCATTTCTTGGAGTAGAATGAAAAATTTTGAAAATTATCAAAATTCAAAATTATCTACTGGGCTATTAATGTGTCGTTAGGTACCGTCATGGCTGCCATTTGGCGATACGTCGAATAAATGATGACGTCAGTTTTTATGCTGTTTCCTTATTGGTCAGATAATCTTCCATTCCCACTCATGAAGCAAGGTGTTCAAGTCACCAATTATAATCAAGTTATCAAAAATATGTCCTGTTGTTGAATAAAACATAATAGGAGGAACCCATGATATTAACGTTCATTCTTGACTATTTCGAGCAACCAGCATGTCCAAATATTTCTTATACTCCATAACATTGTGCTGAATGCTGAGAACTGACAAGACCACGCCCACAATTCGAGCGCCGTGTTGTCACGTTTACCGGTTCAAATGTCCTTTAGTGTGAATTAATATAATTATTATTTACACAAATTTATTATAAGCAATAAATCACAAATCGTTTAGGGATATTACCAATACATAATTGAGAATTTATGGATTATTGAATGACTAATATTTCTGAAGTTCCCCTTCGTATTACAGCACATGGCAACTGTGCTATGTTCTGCCCCTACTTACGAAATCGTGGGGCCAGGTTTTACTCGCGGTAAATTTCTAGCCGTTTGAAAATTTCCGTGGGATTATTGATGATTTTGCACATGAAAATCGACCGAAAAATTCTAAAAAAATATGGAACTGAAAGGTATTTGAGCGATGATTCTATTTAAGAAATGAAATAATATATTCCACTCGCCTATTGAGTCTGATTTATGTGATCAATATTACAACACAAAAATCAGGAAACTACATCAAGCATCGTTTTATTTTGAAAACTAATTGCATATTTGCTTATGCCTGAAATACCAGAATTGGTAACATTTCAAACTAGATAGATTATAACAACTGTTGTTGGTGAACGAGGGTAAATTTTTGTGACAAATCGGTAGTGAAAACCCGATGTTTATCATCGTTATCAGAGTTACAAGTTTTATTTTCAAATGTGCATTTTTGGTAAAAACTATTTTTAATTTGTTTTTTTGTTTTCAAGAAAACATCCAGAGCATTGAAATTGTCATGAAATCAGGAAAAAAGTTGCAAAAAAATGTTCCTGCAACTTTTTGAAAATGCACATTCTTGGAATACATCTTGTAACTATAAAATGATGATGAACATCCATATGCGGTTTCCACTATCGAGTTACCTAGTTTTCAAAATATAGACCCTCAGACTAGAGCATTCTAATCTATCTGAATACTTGAAAAGAAAGAATATCCTTTCAAAAATGTTCAATTTGTCTCACTTGGTACATGAAATTTGATGAATGCGGATATTTGGGACATAAACAAATAGAGAATGCAAACATTTTTCCAAATGAACCAATGTGTAATATAGTTTCCTGATTCTTGACGTAATTTTTCTTACAGAAGGTCATAAACAGGTACATTCAAACTCAATTCATAGACCAAAGAGGTCTTTTTCAGAAGAACATTTTGAAAAAAAAAATCATTCAACTCCAAAATAATAGTTATAACAATAATAATCTTCATTGAATGAAATAATTACCACTAAATAAAAGATAAAAAAACTACTTTGACTCAAGATATTCCTTTAGGTGTTCTAAGGATATTAATATTTACCATTTGAATGATATGGATTCAGTTTGGACTGGTAATTTGTAAACATTTCTATGCAAATGTATATCAAGGAGTGTTGAAAAAAAACTTGGGAGAACACCCAGATGAGCTTATTGTTTTATCTCCTTGGGCATGTTCTGGAAGAATTGTGTAGTTAATTTCTGCTACCAAATTTTAACTTTGCACAAGTAGAACCTTTGGGTTTAAAAAAAAACACTAAAAACCTTATTTCAGGGCACTGCAGCCTCCAGGTTGGAAAAAAGATTGGCACTGTGGGGTGAGAGTTGTCAAAAGTGGAAGATTAGTTGGTTTTATTTCTGCTATACCAGCAACACTCAATGTATACCAAAAGTAAGTGAGTTTTTTATATAACACACTTCAACTATGGACTTATTACATTACATCACTCATAAAGAACATTGAATTTTGAAACTATTCAGTTGTCCATTGTCCCTCACACACTTTCTCAATACGTCTTGATGGATTCAATATAATTGAAGGATGTCTTTGTAATTGCTGGAAGACTGCCCCTATTGTTGCACGAATTTCTTCAAGATTGTTATGCCTCTTACTGTATTGAGACATATTGTGAAAGTGTGTCAATTGTGTGTTAGGGAAAATGGACATCAATTTGAACCATTCAATGATTAAGTTACTGAATAATTTCGAAATTCAATTGTCATGGAAAAATCAAAAGAATTATCCTTCAATTGGAACTTTTTTATATAAAAAATTCATAGCCCACATTTAAATTCAATGTTTTAGTGATTTTTGAGCATATTTGAAAATGTTATATTTATACATTATACATATATCAATTTCTAGTGAAAAAATAAGGAATTTGAGGAGCTCATTAAATACGGGATGTTCCATTTAAGAGATCATAAGTTTGAGCGATATCTGAAAAACCATACTCCGAAAAAAAAAAAAAAAAAATTGACTGCGTCACTGGATTCTCCGTAAAATTCTCTATGGGAAATAATTTCCATTTGACATTTTCGCTGCGAAACTTCGTAGATATAGAGAGAGGGGTTTCAAAGTGTGAATTTTCAAAATCACCCTGTATCTCATAAACGGAAACAGTAATGCAAAATCTGATTAGGCCATCTTGAATTTCACAAAAGTGGCACAGGACCGCGAAAACCGCAAGGTTTTATCTCCAAAGATAACTGAGATATTACATAAATGAACTCCGTTCCCACAATTCATTACACAGCAGGACATTTCCATTTATGCTTTCATCTCAGTAGTTTATGAAATCATATTTCAATTTTGACGTCCATGAAATTTTTTGTCAAATTCAAACAATTTTGAATGAAAAAGCGCGGGACGACGGTGCTTTTATCGTGGTCACAATGCAAGATGTGTAACTTGATGAATCTAAACATTCAAAAACACAGTTGTACAGTTGTCATTTCTGTATCTAACTAATACCATCCAGTGACTTTAGGTACGGGAATAGGAATGTATGGATGACCTTGACTACCGCGAATTATATAACTATATTTCCAGATATCAGGAAAAATTCCAGAGTTCAATGATCCATTAAAAATCATACAAAGTGGGTATGCAAGAGAACAAATATATTTTTTAAGAAATATGTTGGGTATACCATCAGGCCCACAGTTGTAACGGGTGTTTTTCAATAAAATTACATTAAATATATTACTCAAATATTTATGAAGAAAGTGTTATTGAGAGATCGAATGGGGTATCTAATTCTTGGCCAGAGTGATAGCCGGTTCGCTCAGTAGAGATGGTGTGGGTACACAACCATAATAAGCAAAAAAATATATTAAAAAAATAGAAAATAATAGGGCGCCACCCGTTTCAATTCTACTCTCACTCTGTGTTACCAAGAAAATGTATCAAAACGGGACGATAATGCAGATGAATGACATGTAGATACCAAATTTAATTAATTTAATAATAATAATTTAATAGTAATAAATAATTATCATGGAACATGATGATATATCAATAATCGTATATTATAATATATCGATAATCGTGACTAAATTTCGTCTCTGCATATTGGAGTAGTGTTTGAATTACGAGAACAACAAAGTGTATGATTCAAATAACCCCCTCCATGTAGCTATATGCGGTTCACAGCAAATGTTTGTATATAGTAGGTATTCAACTTTGGATTCAACCCCTAAAGGCGTTGTATTATACAGGGTGTTTCAAAAAAACCTGACCCCCTTACTAGGGTAGGTAGAACACTGCAAAATAAGTTGGGTTTACTCAGTAAAAAAATTTCGTTACGGCATCCGTTATCAAGATACAAGGTGTTGAAAAAATGATTTTTTTACACATTTTTCAAGATTATGTCGAAAGTACTGGCAACATTGTGATGAAATTTTGTATGGATGTTTCTTGGAAGTTGACACATCGCATGCCGATGTTTCTATATCTGACTTTCATAGAGGGCGCTAGTTACACGGTTCGTACCGAGTAGTTTTGAACATAACTTTTTTGAGGTTAGATTTTTCAATCCAAATTTGATGTGAACTTGAACATCATTCAATTTCACACCAAAAAGGTACTCTTGGTAAAACTCGATACTGTGTTCCGTTTTCGAAATATTTCGATTTGAAAATGATCAAGTGATAACTGTTGCTGGTATAAAGCTATGTAATAGAGCGAGTATTATGATTTCTGATGCTAAACTTATTGATATAACAATGAATCACAAGAATAACATCGAAACAGATTTGACTGTGAACATGGATTACACAGTTTTGTTGTATCTTGAGCAGAAAGTCTAAGCTACATAGGTAAATTCACGTCAAGAGTTGTGAGACATAATTGAACATCACTTTAATGACCTACACCTGATCCTCAACTGTTTAGAAGAATAATACATTCTTAAGAAAAGAATATAGAATCGTGTATTCGTCGAAACGTAGGACATTTTGAACACTTATACTCTAACTGATTCAATATTTCATGTTTCAAGTCAAATATCTCTTGATTTTCTACTTATGATTCTTTGTTCCATCAATAACTTCAGCACAAGAATGATCCTATTGTTTTTGAATCTGAATAAATAGGTAATTGAACTCAATAAAATTCAGTTTATACCAGCATCAATACTACTCCAATATTTTCAAATCAAAATATTCTGAAAACGGAACATAGTATCGAGTTTCACCAAGAGTTCCTTTGTGGTGTAAAATTGAATGAGGTTTAAGTTCATATCATATTTGGATTGGGAAATCTAACCTCAAAAAAGTTATGTTCTAAACTACTCGGTACGAACCGTGTAACTAGCGCCCTCTATGAGAGTCAGATATAAAAACAAATTCATGCGATGTGTCAGATTTCAAGAAACATCCGTACAAAATTTCATCACAATGTTTCCAGTAGTTTCGACATAATCGTGAAAAATGTGTAAAGAAGTAATTTTTTCAACACCTTGTATCATGGAAACGGATGCCGTTAAGACATTTTTTCACTGAGCAAACCCAACTTATTTTGCAGTGATCTACCTACCCTAGCAAGGGGGTCAGGTTTTTTTGAAACACCCTGTATAAGCTTATATTATGAAAACTATTCTCAACTTTGTTGTTGGTTCAGTTCGGCTCCCCAGTGATTGGTCTTGATAAAAAAAATTGGACAAATATCCTCTTACCAGGTGTCAGCTGCTAACAAGCATCTTTCTTTTTGCTACATACAGAGCATCTGGACTTCGATAGATGGTGAATCAAAATATCACTAGCGATAAATCCACACATGGGGCTAGTTCTCCTATTACGAGGACCCTCCGAATATTTGAGGGTTTCCTATTCAACTAATTATGTGGAATCCAATCTTCTAAAATCTGAAGGGTGATTCTCTCCAGACGTGGTGTAACGAGGTGTCTATGCAATGTGATGATTCATGGAAGGTTTCAGTGCAAAAGCCGCATTGAGCGATAACAACTTCCACGATTCACGCCAAAACAGAGCACAACCAAATTGTGGAACTATAGTGTGAAGACAACCATAATTTTGTCCCCAAAATCCTCAAAATTGGCGAAATTTCGAAAAAGGAACGTGGCGTTTTATCATAGAAAATTTTGGCACTGAAGCCTTCTAGAATGATCTTCGGAATTACCATCTTCATTACAAATATCGGGAACATTTGGATTGATGGAACTTATTTATAAAAACATATTCATCGTTTGAATATTTGAAATTAGATTGGCAGTACTGAGAGGTACTGACGTAGCCCAAGAAAATGGTACTATATGAGACGTACTAATAGTGCTCAGTCTTCGTCCGACACTACCCATGTGTCGTATAACAAAGAAAGACCAAAGCGCGAAGATTGTACTCCAAGCACTGCGAAGAGAATAAAGATAGTACGGGAGCCAACAATTAGCTATATTATAATCTGAGGGTCGACAAGATTTCATGGGTATGAACTAATGGGGTGGACAAAGAAAAGTAGGCGGTTCACCTTATAAGACAATGGCATGTAACGCAGTTGATCTTTGAAAGAATTGATGAACTATTCATGCAACTTCACGGAAATTTTTTGTTGGTTAATCAAAGGCTTTCAGCAAAATGTTACTAAACAGTTGTTATGATTCATTTGCAGAACTCAGCAAATGGTAGAAATCAATTTCCTTTGTGTACACAAAAAGCTGAGATCAAAACGGGTCGCTCCAGTCCTGATCAGGGAAATAACCAGACGTGTACACCAATATGGTCTTTTTCAAGCCGTCTACACCGCCGGTATCGTGCTGCCTAAACCGGTCAGCACTTGTACGTACTGGCACAGGTCCCTCAATCCGAAAAAGTTGATTGAAGTGAAGTTCTCTCACCTATCGCGCAACATGACCATGCAGAGGACTTTGAAATTGTACAAATTGCCCGATAAAACGAAGACTCCCGGCTACAGGAAAATGACTGCGGCCGATGTGCCAAAGGCCCACAAATTGTTAGTAGAGGTATGTATGACAACTTCATTTCATAATGGGCGAATGTTTTTTTTTTACCTATTTCTTCATCAGAATACTTTGCTATGGTCGACTCAATGGAAATTATTTTTTGCTTTCTTTCTGATATTTTATGGCTATTAACTAGTGTGAAATACTTTGAAGGCGAGAAAAGTATAAAGAATCAAATTAAATTCAGGTTTTCCAAAAATCTTTTGTTGCCATATGACAACACAAGGCGCTTGTGATACATGTTTTGGGATATTAACACATATACCTACATTAGATTACAGATATTCTGCATGGCTACGTCTAATAACCAAGTGATTAGGGGGCAGTACAAATTCCTATGCGATAATAACTAATATTTTGTTCACCGATATACACATAGTACTACTTGATCACTTTCAAAAACAACACATATCACCTGGTTTCTACTAGCAAGTGCTGAATAACTCCGTCGTTTTCCGCTCGATCATCCAATTATTTGACCCATCCCATCACATATTGGAATGGAAGTATTAGCGGAATTCCGAAGAGAAGGTTGTCCGGCCGATGCTACAACATCCATTGGCTGGGCGGGAGAGATACCACATTCGCTGATTATAAGCGCCTAACCTTGCCAGATGGCAACACGAATATTTAATGCAACAAAAAACATTCCTGCAATTTTTTTCAATATGTCACATGCATAACTTTCAGCATGTGCAACATTATTATCAAAACAAAAATCGCGAAATCAAATGCGTGAAAAAAAAGATGATACGTACTCGAACGTGACGTCCATGTTTTACGTCAGTTCAAATAAACTCGAAAGTTTCACGAATTCACGAGGCCGAACCAGCTTACTCACAACAAAGAACTTGCGACATATGCATAACTGGTCCTTTTGCGAATCATGCGGGCTATCTCTCACCCTTATAGCAGAAAATTTGAGTGCTTCGCAATTACTAAAATCTCCATCTGACTAGCGTTGCCATATGGCAACGCACGACGCTAACGGGTTAATATACATCAATGAAATTCATGAGACATTATAAAAGCAATAATGAAATACATTCATGGAATTTACAACCAAGTATATGGATTGAATTTGATTTAATAAGAAGAAAACCTGAAAAGAATAACATATGGGGAATTAACTTGAACGCGATTGGTAAAGTGTGCTTTATGCCTAGTAAGTGATTCTTGTCACATCAGTTGCCAAGTTTTACATACACATAATTGAAGGGGCAAGTGGAAGAAGGAGTAATGTTACAAATATGAGTTTGTGAGAAAAATAGGTTTTAGTAAAGTTAGCTGGCATTTTTTAATGGAAGCTACTTTAATAATTGGATTTATGCAATTGTGAGGAATAGTTTTGGTTGATTTTTCATGATTTACAGCATTTTGCTCTTCCATTGCGTTCTTGATGTTTAATGTAACAAAGCCCCTTCTACCACAGTGTATCTGCTCAGGTATGAAGAATAGAAACAAAGTTGAATATGCACGTAACACCTTTTTCCATGACCTAACCGAATATTTTTAGAAAATGTTACTTGACCCCTTCTTCCACTTGCCCCTTCAATTAGAAACCATCAAGAAATCCAATTGATGAATGGTAACTCAAGCTAATCATCAACTTAAGCTAACCTCAACTTATTTGACGCAGTGAATTAACTGACTACTCTTCTCTCTATAACATGACATCTGGATCAATGATAGATAAGTCCAGTTTCATCACATTCATTTACACTTTGATCCCTTCAATTACAAGATTCAGAAAAAAAGGGTATCACTCGAATGGTTTCTCCTTTCAGTACCTAGCTCGGTTCGATTTGGCACCACTATTCAGCGAAGAGGAATTCATACATTGGTTCCTGCCGCGGCCCAACATAATCGACAGTTTCATAGTGGAAGTCAACGGCGAAGTAACGGATTTCGTCAGCTACTACACATTGCCTTCGACAGTGATGCACCATCCGGTGCATCAATCCCTCAAAGCTGCGTACTCCTTCTACAACGTGTCGAAAGGTACGCCCTGGGTGCAACTGATGACCGACGCGCTGATTTCCGCCAGGCAATTGAATTTCGACGTTTTCAATGCTCTGGATTTGATGGACAACTCCGAGTTTCTGTTGCAACTGAAGTTTGGAATAGGTGACGGTAAATTGCAGTACTATTTGTATAATTGGAGATGTCCGAGCATGCAGCCTTGCAACATCGGTATAGTTTTGCAATAGATATTTTGAATGATCATTTAATGGTGGGATGATGATATTTTAATTTAATGTACTTTCAAAGGACTAAATAAAATAATTCCCGGTTTCAGAAGGGAGATAGTCACATTATTCTAATGTTGGCATTTTTATTGTTCACAAAGAGCCTGCAACGTTAACAATTATTTATTTTCTTTAAATAATTTTCACGTTTTTGTTGGTGTAAATGAAACTAGTCATATATATAAATTTTGCTTGAAATTCTATTGAAATTAGATGAACGATGATGTGTTTGAGGCATATATTTTTTACTATCATAATGTATAATAAAATTGTACCAGTCCAATTTGTAGAAAATATTGAACTCATTGCAATATAGACGAGATGGTTCGTCTTGCATTCTGTCCAGGATAGAATTTACCTTTTCAAATGGCTATCAACCATTTACATGAAATATTCCGAAAATATTATATCTAGGGCCTTGTGAATAAGGTCACCCATGAGAAGATATTATTTTATTAACCTTCTGGCAACTGTTAGTGCAAGCTGAACAATTAAATTAAGTTCAAAACAGTTTGATGAAAACTAGAACAATATGATTGAGCATTAGTCACCAAATTCTTGAACTACATAAATATTAACTCAAAATTTAAATTGAATGAAAATAACTTGCGATTTCACTTTTTTTGACGCTCTGCGCATACTCGTCCACCAACAGTTCAAGACAGTTCAATACAACGTATAACTGAGAAGTAGCATTGCACTTCCATTTGTTCTTATAGGTCATTGGTTTCCAATAGTTACATCTCACTTCTCATATTGTTATTAATGCCTCTCTCTATTCTAGTAATTCAGGGGTCGGCAAACTTCAAGAGCCAATTTTTTTCAATAATTTCAAACTGGATCAATAACCACCTATGTTTTTTTTTTCAAAGTCATATACACTGTGTGGAAGATAAATATTGGGATCGTTTCAATTCATATCAGACGTTATTTAAAAAGACATAGAAAAACAAAAGACACTATCACATTGCCACTTTTTAAGCTCTACAAAACAGCGATTATAGATTTGCCGTAGGACGTCTCTTTTCGGAAAAAACATCATCAACCTTACTCCATGATAGATATCCTTATCTTGGACACACTGTATACATTTTTGTTCTGTATTTTTCAATTAAATATCTGGTTGAGATTAAATATTTTTATTTCTTTGAAAAACAAACTTTATTCTAATAGGTAGATCATAGTGTTATAGGTACTCAACATTAGGAAAATGTGATTCACTAGATTACTCACAGCAATCGATCTGTGCCGTTGTTTCTATTTGTATTTTTCTTTCCCTTGGGATTTTCAATTCAGTTGACACTTTCTCAAATTTGGAGCTCCACATATCCTTGTTTTGTATGTCAAACATTTTGTACCTTGATCAATACTTAAAGGAGAAAATATCAAATCTGCACTAATGGTAATGAAAACCAACATCGTTATACGATTTCTTAAATCCATAGAATCTGATTTGAAAAGATTTTTGAATATCAATTATGACTGTTCCTGTTGGGTAATACACGACTTCAGAATTATTTTTAACTTTATATGTTGATACTTTTGTTATCTTTCCATCTATTTCTGAAGAGCCATGCTCATACCAGAAGAATCACACTTTCCTGACCCCTGTAGTACTTAAATATTGATAGATCGTCCGTTGGCGGTGTACCTGTTTTTGACCAATGAGGGAAAATGGCAATCAAATTCAGGTTCGTCAATCCACATGTTCCAACATAGTGTGTTTCAAAGAATGGAAAGGCCAGTTAAAAAATATGGAGGACTAAACTGTATGTATTTCTGCCTTTTACACACTATGAACAATGCTCATATAGTCTGTTAGATTTGCCTTGAACACATTTGTTTTTAAATATCAACAATTCGAAGTTGAAAGTTTGTATATATTACTCAACTCAAGGTTATCGCAGTTTCATTACCATTTTACCAATTTCTAGTGAGCCATATGTATTTTTTTCAGAAATTGACTCATGTTCTATAGTTATAATTGTTTATGCTTATAAAAATTTATTTGTTATTTACTTGATAATAAATGTTATCCAGTATAAGTATCACTTTGATAATAAATTTTTTGTTGTACTCTTATAAAAGTAAGTAACAACTTAATTATTCCTAATAACCCTTAGTGAAAATGTGCATTCTAGTCAATTTACGGACCATATTGTATTATTCCATAAACGTACCCGTACATTTTTGTGTAGGGAACATTATTACCTATCAATGGAAAACAAAAAATTCCAAAGTTGATCGACCACACTTCATGTAGAAATAGAAATTATAAAACAGTAACCGGTTTCGGCTCAACGGCCATCATCAGACTGTAGACTAATATACATACAGTCTGATGATGGTCGATGAGCCGAAACCGGTTACTGTTTTATAATTTTTATTTCTACAGTGTCTTCGACCGACTTTGGACTTTTTGTTTTTTTGAAAACATTGGACCCTTTCGAGTATTGATGATTTTAACGATTTATTAATAGCTATGATTCTATTCAAAAGATTATTCATGATTCACTCTGTTTGAAATAAATTGGAGATTCAATTTTGGTGGAACAGAAAGGTTAGAAGTGATAATCTACAGAGTTGTAGAGAGCTTCATCAGTGCATTTGAAAAAACCACAACAGACTTACAACACAAATGAATTAGAATTGGAATCACAGAGATAGGTACTCCAGACTTTATAGTCACTATCAGGAAAGATATACAAGTAGATGTCAGTACACATTTATATCTGCCAGTTTTTAAACACAATACCCAAATGATAAATTTAAAGTATTGGATCAGACATGCATTATTGAAATTCAAATTGTTCATAAAGGTTATATTAGAAATATCAAATATAACGTACATTTTATGTGACACATGGATGTCTACCATTTCAAGACATGAAAAGAAGCAACACTTTAATCCTTGTTTCTATCTCTGTCACGCCTCTGTCTGTCCCAATTTTGATTATTTCCACCCCTGTAGTTTTGCCTATCTCTGAAGTTTCCCTGGAACAAAAGATAAAATGTAGATATATGGTTTGGAACAGTTACAGGCATGACCAGAAGAATAAAATGAAAACGTGGTGAAAACAATTATTTACCAAAATTAAGTAAATCTTCAAATTTTAACCACACTTGGATTTTGTAAATTAATTAATTATTTATTTATTCATTCAATCGTGTACAGTTGTATTAAAAAAGGCTCAAGTATTCGAGAGAGAAATTAACATCGGCCTATTTGCGTAAAACGGGCCACATCGGGGATGATTGTTTACCATAGTTGACAGTTGTCGTAGGTTGTCAAAAATACAAAGCATTGGCTGAGCCAGTTTTACACAACAAACTAGGATGACGTTAACCTCTCTTTTAATACTTGTACTCTTTTTTATTGAATACAACTGTACGAATATCATCAAAAAATATTATTTACATGTTTTGTAAATTATTTATTATTAACATAGAGGCATTTTTGGAAATTCATTCAGGTTGATCAGGTCCCTAATCTGACTGAACCTTCGGTTACCTAAACCGAGTCACCTACATCTGGGGCCCGATTCTCGAATCCGTTGGAATTCGTTCCCATGGAAAAAACTCATTTCCCATGGAAATTGGAGATGATGTAGTCTTGAAATATTGTATGGGAAACTTTTCTTACACATTTCGAGAGAACTGCTTCCCATGGTAATCCCCAAGGAAACAACATGTTTCCCATAGGATAACCCTCATGAAATACGAAGTTATTCTCATTTGTGATGGGAACTGATCCTTAGTGAAAATCATGTATTGCAAAACATGGCAAACATGGATGAAATAGACAATCTAGAGGCTTTACAAAATTTAGAAGTGGCTGAAATCCTTGCTAGAAGACTAAGAAGAAGGTTTCTGCGTAGAAGGGACCAATTGTCTACTGCACACTTTATTAAAGTTTTTCGTTTGTCCAAAGACATTACTAGAAAATTGATAGGTACTTTAGAATCCTTGTAAGAGAATTGGGGGTGAAATTTTCCTTTCTTCAAGTCCTCAGAGGCCTCCATTATTTCTATTAAAAGTCTTGTCTGATCTTTGCTAATACTACCACCACGTGGTTTTTCAATATTGTTTGTATCCATATCCATTTTGATCAGAGGAAATATAGTAAATATACAACACAATAATGTCACAGTCACAAAATTATATTATACTATAACCTCAAAATTAGTCAAAATCAAAATGTCAACATTTCATTTTAATCATCCGCGACATACGGCATTTTTTTAATCCCCTAGGGAAAACGATTCCATCTGGTTCGAGAATAGGTGTCATGACAAATCATCATTTCCTATGAGAACTGAAAGCATTAGATCATTCTCCAATAGGATCGAATTCCTACAGATTCGAGAATCGGGCCCCTGTTCGGAAACTTGAGTGTTGCTAACTCGATCAATGACTCAGGTTGATCTTTCGTGGCCCTACTCAAAATTATGGTCGCCAGGACACCGCATGCGCATTACCAATTTATAGGTAATTCATGGCAATCGAAAACGCGGGAGATTACCACTCCACGACAACAATATAATAATAAAATGGTTTGCATGTTGGGAAACACTTCGATCAGTGATACACATTTTCGTTTCAATCTCCATAATTTGCAGTAATGCAAAGAGGATGAATTTGGGTATGTGTGAAGTTTGTGGTTTTATGAGCCAAGAAAATAATATGCGACAACACATGAGACAAGTTCACCAATCACCAGGTGATTGTAAATATTTGTAAACATATCAAATAAGTGCTTGAATAAAATGTGAACAATTTCGTCCATTAAATACATGAAACCGCCTAAAGAAGATTACATTTTCTGTTCCTAACCTGACACGTTCGTAAACGTTGAACACGAGTAGATGATCCAAGTTTTTTGTCACGTGACCTCTCTGAATCGGTTTAACAACCGAGAGTAGGTTTCCGAAAACACCTTAGGTTAAAGACCTGTGTGTGAAAGAGACATTATTTCATGTATAATAAATATTGCTTTTGACAACGTTAATACCACAGAACTCATAATCTTTATATCATACGACTAGAACGCGCGATCTCATGGCTTCGTACCAAATTTCTGAACATAACATGGGCATTCAAATGGGGGTCAAATTATATTAATCTCTTCAGAATAACGTGGAAGTATGGTGATACAGTAGAGGAGAGAAACTACTGAGACGAAGGTCATGACAACTTGTCATTGAATTTATTTCCGAAAAGTCAAAAATATTATTAGATCTTTGGTAAAATCAATATTATACTTGATTATTGTAATGAAGTGATTTGGTTCCATAAGTATACCTGATGCCTGTCTGTACCCTATCACATAAGATTTACTCGAAGTTTCTTGGATCTAATCAGGAAGAATGATCTTGACATACAGTTAAACTTGGAATGGCCATCATCTGAATATTATTCGTTCAATTCAGAGGATGTTCTGACAAAATTCAGGGTTAGATTTGATGCCCAACTCAAAACTGACAAGCTGTTGAAAACAGTGGCCCAGATTTTCCTAAGGATGTCATAACATTGTCTTCACATGATAAATTGTTCGTTTTTGATCCATCAGGAATTGATTCGAAAAGCTCTTCAAGAGGTTCAAATGAGAGCAGTCTTAGGAAAAGGCGATTCGGTTTGTGGTAGAATGAAATCATCCTCTCCTATTTGAAGTGGGAAAAGTCTTTTGAAATGAACTCAGTGATTTGATACAGTGAAATGAGATACTCACTAAAACTATGACAATTGAATATGTTATAAAATGTGTGAAAATGATAATATGAGAAATTTACTCATTATAAATGTATTCTACATTTGCGCAGTGAATTCCTTTCTGAAAAACTAAGTTTAGACATGTAGACACTTGGAGTTATTATGGACTTCTCCCAAAGATTGTCTTCTGATTTTTCTTAGAGATACGCCACTGGTGTCCATTTACATTTCACCACGAATTTACAGGCCCCTACTGTTTATGGTTCAGTGTTGCAGTTGATGCATGATTTGTTCGTCCGCCATATTGGATACGCATTCTAGTCGTAGGATATAAAGAGTTATGTGGAAAATTCATACTCAAATATAATCAAATTGTACATGAAAACAGAAAAATAGTTGATTAAAACTGATCATCGATTTTTTTTGTGATATCTATAAACCAAATTTCAACAATGTTTTTTTTTCTTAAATCATTATCCACACCATTACTTTCAATATCTTCACATTACTAGCTGCAGAACACACCATCTGTTATTTTCCAACCTGAACAATCAATTTTCTCTACCTATAAAAATAATAAATATTGTACCAGTAAAAAAAAAACATCCTATTTTCTCTGAAATAATAGAATAGTGAGGATTTTAAGTAAAAACGAATCTCCATATTAGGAAAATAATTAATAAACCAAGGTACAGAAGACTATTCTCGCCGCAGTCCTGAAACATGTTAAAGAAGTGATACATGACGAGAGTAATGATGCTGGCGAAGAAACGAAATAAAAAGCACTCATTTATATGCTGGTATTTACGCCGGAGCTGAAGTACTTTATCCGACCAGCGAGTGTGAAAAAATGGATATCGACAAATTGATAACACAAATGTACTTAAACCACCGTTGTGTGATCAAGGAGAGAAGAATTATGACGATAGGTTTGTGATGGATTGAAAATGGAATGGAGTAATGAATTCACCAAAAACAATATCAAACATCTTCATTCTGGTAGGCATGGCTATTTACTAATCAGTTCAATGGGATTGTGATAAACATAACTAATTTGACATTTTGTGCAGTCAGGCCACATATTTATTTAGGTGAGGATATTTTTTGTCAACATGACGAGTAAGTTATCTCACTCTTACTAATTTCTTCAGAATATTAATTCAATTTCATCTCTCTTTTTAAAAAGCTAAAAACTGATTACTTACTGATGATGACTACAGTCAAAAGCGCCCTGCTACGAGAATTTAAATAATTCAACACTTTGTACAATCATTTACATATTCATTTGATGCGAAATTCACGATGAATCTCTCAGAAATAAGTAAAAATCTACTCACTTGGTTAGCTCCTCTCATGAAGAAGTTTCCTTGTTTTGTTTCCAGAATCCTTTCGTTAGAATCGACGAAGTTATTAACCTTGTCTGCCAACTGTAATGCCAATGACTGTAGACGGGACGGTTCACTTCTGTGCATCACTACAGTTTGTGTTGGATCATCTAATGATGCCTGAAAACGTGAAAAACTTGAGCATGTTATTCTCCACTCACTCACAAATGGTCGATTAGCACGTGAATCGACTCCTATGCCGACAACCAGGGTCGGACTAGTACATACGCGACTAAATATTGTGATGCGTGCAGATATTGTCCAGCTAGGTATGAAATTAATGAATTCACAAGTTATCAATAAGTCAATTCAACATCTGTATCACCAGTTATTAATGTTTTTTCATTTCTATAAAAATCAGTAATTACTGTAATGAAGTGTTTTTGACCAGCTTCATTACTAGACTGGTTTTGATCAAAATCTAAGTACCTGAGCCTGATTCTAGTTGAATTTCACCTGTTCGAAAGCTCGAAACCTGAAAACCTGAGAGAGCTGAGTAATGCATTGATTCCTGACTTCCCACAGATTTTCCCGATAGTAAAAGCTGATGAACATCATTACAACCCTAAAGACTTCAATATTTTTCAACCCTTTGCTTATGATATGAAATTTGATTGAATTATTTATCAGTTGAAATGGTGAATGTTTAAATGCTCATAACTTTGTTGTTATTGAATATTTTCCAGCCAAATTCATTCAGTAGCATAAGCAAAGGTAGTAGATCCTGTTCCTGTGCCCATTTAGGGTGTAATATTATTTTTTCCGCGTTTTGTGTTGGAGGTGCGCATGTGCTTTTCAAGGACAGATTTAGTGGCCATGGCCATGAACCATGACAAGGTGGGAGTTTTGACCAATGAGATTCCAGATTTACTTGTCCTCGTGCCAAGGCCAAAGCAGTGCATAAATACTGAAGACAGCCAAGGATTGGAGACTCTCTAAGCTCTTGTCTACAAGTCTACACTACCTGATCCCCGTTGCTCTTCAAGCTCCTGATTCTCAAGCTGATCTTTTAGTGCTCTCATAGTTCATTCAAAACCAGTGTAAAATAGTATTGTATAGTGATTTCCGGTTACAAATGTAAGTCTGTATATTTTTCACCAGTGTTATTCATCCTGTTTATAGCTTCATTTCATTCCTGTTGTTTTTCACACCGATACTCACCCGACCTGTGTAAAGAATCCAGAACTCTAAATTGAATAAACGGATTTTGTGATTGCATATGTCATATTTCCTTCTCTGTTGTCATTGTTTTCAGTTCCAAATAGTTCAATAATTTATTTAGTGATTTTCAATATTTTCATTTGTCAAAATTGCAGAATATTATTATTGACTAACGACTGACACTGACAAGCCAGTTAACAACTCTTCTTCTTCTTTTCCTTGAGCAATCCAGTCCTGTGCACCGGTGTCTCTGTGCTTTGTATCCCGTCAGGCGGTGTTCTATGTTTCATGAACTATTGACATTAATGGAAAAATATAATTAATTAACCTCACTAAAAATCCGATATTAGAAAATTAGAAAAATCGAAGGAAAAGAAAAGATAAATAGAAATTGAATCTGTTTAATTCGTTTAGAACTGTGTTTCCGATTCTCCAGGTAGAAATGATGAAATAGTTGAATAAATAATTTTCCAGACCTAACCTTAAAATATCAAAGACCTGAGAGATATTTTGCTTTGATTCCTGTAATTATCCAGACCAGGAATAGCAACCAGTATTCCAGGCCAGACCCAGGGTTTGTAATTAAAGCCTACACTCCCTTGGCTACTTATTGATTCCAGGTCGATTCAATACCATTGACCCCTGGATTATACTGTGGGTACCGAGGTAGGTATACCTCCTGTACCTTTCTCCACTGTTGCTACTGTGGGCCTCCTTCCCGACTAAGTTGGGAGGAGCAGGTGAAGTAAATCACCTTTATCAAAAATCTGGCGCTCGAGAATCCCTCCTGTCAAATACCAGAGTAGTCTCCTGTCCTGAACAGAGCGTCAAAGTAAGGGCCCCAGAATAAAAGACCCTTACATTACAATAAAACTATGTCACATATATGTGAATTTTTCTTTTACAAATTTCATCCACATGGATGCACCTTTCCCCAGAAATAGTTTTATGACATGTGTTACTTCTTATCAATTAGGTACCTGAGAAAAATGTAGTTTTCCTTTAGTTTTGTCATTGAATGGCATATTTAAGTTGATTTTAAAATGCCGCTGGCAGAGTTAACAACTACCCCACAAAGATTACCAATTATAAGAAAATGTTGCCCATTTAATACAGATTCTGAAATGGTATAACATATGGGGTTATCCAAAACTGCCTTCTTGTCAAATGGGTTGCGTTTTTTAATAACTTTTGTACCATCAACAATTTGTTAACCACATATACCGTTAGTTTAATTGCAAATGTAGTATTTTCAATTATATGAATAATGTGATAGGTATGAAATTTTTGAATTCAGAATGAAACAATATTAGATTCCTTCAGCTTGAAAATTATCGTCATCCGAGTCATCATTATTTTGATTCCTATAATAGATTAAATAAACAACTGCCCGGTCAAAGACGAATTTGCTATTAGCTGCGCGCACCGCACAACCATAAACTGATAAAACTGTGATTATTATTACGTCCGACCCTGCATCGAAAAAAACATACAGATATAGGTATTTGAAATTTTGTCTCAAAATATTTAGTTTGTTCATTGACAAAATAGGAATTAATATCATGGTAATTTCCTGAAATCATATGAGCAGGTACTGATTTGAACTCGCATTGAATGTATATAGTGTGATTACTATATAATGTGTGCATGGAGTGGTACTATGCATTTCTGGCAGGAATATACAGTGTGTCCAGGATAAGGATGTCATGGGGTATAGTTGATGGTTTCTCCCTGAAGAAACGTCGTAAGGAGAATCTCTCAACGCTGATTCGTAGAGCTTCAAAAATGCTTCTCGTTAAATAACGTCAGAAAAAAATAAAAACGATCCCCATGATACACATCCTTATCTTGGATACAATGTATATTGTGATTGTGAGGACTAGGATAATATTTTGTTATGCATGATGTTGGGAATCACCAAGTAAGATGGTTCGATTCGTTCATCAATTTCTCACAATTCAAGAAGAATAATGTCTATAAGTCAACATGTAAAAGACAACGATTCGTTTTAGAGAAACAGGACACACTGACACTTCCAGGTGCAGAATTATCTGAAAAATTATCTGGTTACTGGTGAGGTTGGAAGATCTTATTATTTCATCGGTTCACAGGTTCAAAGGTACAAACTGAAATGGGTGCTTGATCTCATCATTTTAATCAAACAAGTTCATATAATCATGAGTCCGAACAGTAGCGGAGCTACGGGGGGGTCAAAGTTTATTATTATTTTTCCCTGTTAATTATAATAATCTCGCTCACTTTCAAATATATCGATTTGAAAGTTGGTTTCGCCCCCAAAATTTTTCATAGCACCCCTCTGACATCTTCCAGTTATCAAATTGGGTGGATCGTTCAATTTAGAGGCTTTCTGTGCCTCACAATTTTTGTTTGAGAAACGAACCGTTTTCAAGATAAATGAGCAAATCCGTTCTAGAACATGTTGTTTTGTCTATGTTTCGCTTAAACTTAATTCTTAGTCCAATCTGAATCAGTAGCGGGAATACAGACGGTAAAAGGTCGAGGTTTCTTTTTAATTTTCAAGGTTGGTTGAATGATTCATGTATACATTCTACTATTTTGAAACTTTCTAAAACGGTATCATCCTACAGTTGAGTAAGCTCTTGAAACACATAATATTTTTTGATTTTATAACTATTTAGTTTATGATTTAGATTCACCCTGAATTTTCAACTTTGTGATTTTCGGACAGATAATGTCTGATTCGAGAGATATAGAATAATAAAAATCATGAACTTCATTTTGCATTATTTCCGAAGTAAAAATCTTAATTTTCACAAACTGAAGAGTAAAAAAAATCATAAGATGCTGACTTCAACGGTGACACTGTATAATAAATTTCTTTTCGCTCCACCCCGTATACCTATAATAGATATTGGAATTACTCATCATTGTTCGAGAGAATTTTAACTTCAACCTCAAAAACTGCCTTTTTAAAAAGCAAAATTACGTTTATTACGGAATTGTACAATCAAGAATTCTCTTCGAAAGATAGACAAGGAATGAATTGTGAATATAAAAACTAAATCAAGCTGGCTCGCAGAAATCTCGTGAGGAGATGGTCTTCTCGGAATAGTCTCATGTTTCTCTTGTCGTCGCGGCATGTTTTTGATAAGGAGCATCATGTAACTCCTCCCTCCTCAAGATGAAAAAATAACGGAGTTATTTTTGGACGTGGTCGCTTCTGGAGTTTCTTGAACCTTCTTGCAGTTTGGGAAGAATTTGTGGTACATCTGCTTCATTTTTGGTAGGAATAGTGCAATAATTGCTACAATTATTATTGCAATTATTATCCAGAATATAGGCGTGGTTGACTGTTGGTTCTCTTCTAGTCGTACGGGCTTAAGCTGTTTGGCTATATTGTTGATTTCTTTCATTTCCTCGAAGTCCAATTTGGTGAAGTTCGGCGTTTCATAGTTCCGGGATGTTTTCAAGCTACTAATTTCCAGTTTCGGCAGAAATAATGGTTTGCCTTGCTGGATTCGGGTGTCGCTTATGAATTTCTTGCCTTGAATTTGTATTTCACAGGATTCCGGGACTTTGATCAATGCAGGATGGCTGATTTCTATATATCGGTCTGTCTTGCATTTTGAGTAGACCCGTTCTGGTTGGAATGGGATCATCAGAATTTTGTCTTGGGCTTACTTGTTCTAGGATGGAATCTCTCACGTTGATTTCCAGGATTTGGCATTCTTCCGGTGAACGTCCTTCGAGGATTTTGATAGTGCAGTTGTCCTTGGGCAGAAATGTTTCTGGGCAGTAGTAGACATCTTCTAGCAAGGGGCAATCTTCTTTTTCGAACTGAGTATCTTGTATGTTGCGTGCCAGGTAGGGGTATTTAGGGACAAATAATTTATGATTTAGGATAACGGGATACAGGTGGTAAAAATTAAAAACTTTAGGTTTCATGATTGGGACGTGAACAGCAAATATTAGTTTCG